ATCAGCAGTGTCCTTCAAATAGACCGCCACTTTCTGGTTAGCTACGGTTTGGTCATTACGGCTTCAGCTCGGGTGTCCACAACCTCGGTCGTTATCTTCAAAAGCTCAGTCTCAAGCTTCGTAATCATATTTGTTCGAACTGAGCTATTATCACGAACTAAGCAAAGTTGAACCTGAAGAGCGGAGGCTTTAGTCAGAGCACCCTTCCCCGCGGAGGCCTGAACCTCTGCTTGAGCCTTTAACTCATAATACTCGCGCTTCGCTCGGCTAGCTTCGTTCTGAAGGCGCTCCAGGTCCTCCGTATTTTTCTGCAACTGAAATAAACGAAACATTAGTCTCAGGAGATAGAAGAGAGAAACACACTCGCTTGGAGCAAAAACTACCTGCTCCATCAAATAGCTCTCATAATTCAAGCTCCGACTCGCCTCATACCGTATGCGTGCCAGCTCGACTTCCCTTTCATCGCAAAGGAGCCTAAGGGATTTCTCCTTATCCAGAGCTTTCCGCCGCCTGGCCTCACGGCGAAGCAGCTCGAACTTAAGCTTGTCAAAAGCTTGCAAAAGAAAACCCAATAAAGAAGGGAAGGCACGAAACTCGAAAGGCCTGTGCCAAAACTCACCGCATAGTGAAGTCGCTGGGCTTCCTCGAAGGTCGAGCGCACATCTACTAGCCTGGCCCCCTCAGCTCTGAAAGAGTCGACCTCGGTCGGGGCACGATCGCTCGTTTCATATGATCCCAGGTTTCGAGTATCCCTCGAAGTACCTCCGACGGAAAAAGAGGACGACAACGGAGGAGAAACTGCCCTTCCAAAGCCATAAATCATAGGCGCGGCAAACTTAGTCAATACTTCCATTCCGGGCCCCCGGTCCAGGTTCACCTATCTTTGAGCAACGTCTCCCTACTAAGGTATCTCTTGCTTATTGTCATCGTTCTTTAGCCCAGAGGTTAGTAACCCTTCTCCATCTCCAACGGGGCGTGGCCCCGCCTCAGATGGCTCCCCGATGCCTGAAATAACAGGGTTAGTGCTCATAAAGCGAAAGTGCTTTTCCAACTGAAAAAAGGGAAGGGAACAGATCGCACAGCACATACCATGATGTTTTGCCTCCCATTTGCCCCTAAACAAAGCTCGTCACTTACACTCATCGCAGGTCGAGTGAGCCGCCAACTCCCGAGCCCAATTTGGCAGATCAGGGACCTCACACGGCATAAATGAAATTGTCGTAGAATAGGGAAAGAGGGCACATTTACAGAACACTCTTTTGTCATAATTAAAAAAATACGAAAGCACGAGTGTACAACTTACGTGTATAATTCCATTCCTCAGGGAATGGCAAAAACTCCACGGGGATAATATCAACAGTCCGTACTCGGACGAATCGACTCATCCACTCCCAATCTCCCTCTTGTTCATCATCAACAAGGAAAGGCGTGGCCGACCGGCATCGTAAGGTTAAGAGACCTCGATGGTGAAAAGGTCGGTGCAGCCTAATAAGATGACTGAGTGTGAATTCAAACCCTGCCTTCTCTGCGAAAAACCTCATCATCAATACTATCCGCCAAAATGACGGATGAATCTGCGCTAAGGTGACCCGGTATTTCCGACAGAAGTCAAGCACAACCCTATCAGGGGGGCCTAGCGTGAAAGGGCACGTGTACACGTTCAAAAACCCCTCGGCATGATCCATGATGCTCTCCTCCAGGGAAGGTACCCATAATGCTACCTTTTCCCCCCATCCACAGTCCTTCATCAGCAACTTAAGGAGCTCCTATCGTATTAAAGAAATGAACTTCGAGGCATAATCCCGATAAACTCGAACGTTTGGAGTCTTTTCTGGCAGGAGATTCCCTCCCAAAGCAAAGCGCCTAGAGGCGGAGCTCTTTTCTCCTTGCTGAGCGGATTCGGGCATTGCAGCCATAGCTATAGTAAAATGAAGGAAGGGGAAATGAAGACTTGGGCGAAAGCTTTGATTTAAAGGAAAATTGGCGCAAGAGAGGAGAAATCTATGAGAGCGGATAAATGCTCAGAATAGCGGAATCTCCAAAAGGGCGAAGACAACCCTATATATGGGAAAAGCGGCGACCACCTGCCTACCCCAAAGGCCGACTAGAATATTGGCTAAAGCTTTTATCGCTTCGGAAAGATACACCGGCAAAATTGCCTTCGTATTTTCGTAACCATGTCCTACACTCGACGTCGCCATACGACGCTTCAAGGTCGAAAACCCCGCGCCAACCAAGTCCCGAGGTGGTACTCGACCTCAAGGACCTCCATAAAAAAGAAGTTAGGCTCTAAGAAGCCATTGGCAGCATTGCAAGTCCCCAGGTGGTACCCGACCTCGAGGACCTCCACAAAAAGAAGATAGGCTCCAAGTAAACTATTAATATCGCTATAAATCCCGAGATGGTACCCGATCTCAAGGGCCTCCACCAAGAGGATGATTGGCTCCAGAAAACCATCAACGTCATTACAAGTCCCGAGATGTTACCCGATCTCGAGGGCTTCTCTCAAGAATATAATAAGCGCTTAAACTCTACTCATATGGGTTTGGCCTCGGGGTACCATCTAAACCCGGTTAAACCCTCATCTGGGATCTATCTACAACGCCTTGAGAAAACCCCCACTCGGGGACTGCTCTCGAAAGCCTAAGGGTAGTCTCTATACAACCCGAAGTCGGGGTCCCGACGACTCGAGTTTATCAGTCCAATACGGGCTCGGCCCAAGGAACAGCAAAGGGTTCTGCGGGGAGCCGTGTTAATCAATCAAGAGCTAGAGAAATACTTATGCCCGGGCTCGATATCCATACCAGTTAGTAGGATCACGCATTCATATTCTTCACAAAAGCAGACAAGGGGAAATAATGCACAAATCAAAGACAATTTGAAGAAACATCTTTTCCATTAATAAACAACGATTACAAAGCCCACGAGAGGTCCTTACATATGATTACAAAAGCCCACGAAGGGTCCTTACACAGAAACAAAGAAGCAGAAGGATGTACATATATAATTAAAGCCCAGATCCTAGCCTATTCTCCGGGGAGCATCCTCGGCGGTAGTATGTTCGGGCATCGCCTCCTCAACGGTCTCATCTCGATCTCCAGCAGTAGCATCTTCAAGGGACAGGATGAATAAGAGGAAAGTGATGCAGAAGAAGCAGAGAAGAGATCCATAGCCCGTCTAGGGCCAAAGGCTTTTATCAGGCCGAGGATACCATGGCCCGATGGGAGATTTGGCAGGCGCCGGCTCTACCTGCACGGCTACTTAAAGTCCACTTCATGGGACATTGTGTCGTGCAAGTTAAGCGGCCGGTTGTTCCATTTCATCCCTTGAGAGGTAAAGGGGATGAAGTGCCACACCAGGCCGAAGTAGGGAGGTGAGCGGCGGTGTATAGTTTGAACGCCCTCCCGAGCAGCGGTGTAGAGTCCAAACATCCTCCTAAGTCGGAAAAAGTCGTCCCCCTATCTCATCGCCTCGAGCCAACCACGATAGTAACAACAACAACGACGACGACGACGACGAGCCGATGTAACCTGGCTCAATAAGGGGAAGCCCTAGGAAAATGCCACGGGCCTTAAACATTCGAGATATCAATGGATGAGGATGAAGAGAAGGAATAGGTGAAAGGATATGGGAAAACTCTCGAATGAGGAAATGGTTCCAGGAGGTTCCCTTTTATAGGGGGTGGCAGCGTAACCGGCGGCCCCATTAATGTCTTTGAAAGACATATCGGCAGGAGCAATCAATGTATTTTTGAAAAATGGACAGAAGATGATATTATTGTTTTGAAGAATAAAGGTCGACAGTGAAGTGAATAATTCTGAAAAAGTGGACTGACGGTACATTTCAGTTATCACAAAGGCCTACACCATCAATATGACATCATCACGGGAAGTTCGAAGAGATGGATATCAAAGTCGTTTCTTATAGTTCCACTCTAAGAAACACTGGGACTGTCTGTATACGGTAGAAATCAATGGCCCAATTTCACAAGCATCACGGCATCTCGAGGGCTTCTAGTGTTCGACTCCAAGAATCCTCGACGGTCGATTTCGAGACAGTTTGACTTCAAGATGTTATAGTAATGACCGGCCCCGGGACAATGTGAATCAACTGTCTCCGTGACTCAAGGTGGCATTCCGAAGGCACGTGACTAGAGCTGACAAAGCCTAGTGGACTAGTCTGAAAACGAATCAAGGCATTAGGTGGCTATACCTGCCCCATATCTTTGTAACTAATGCATTTTTGTACTATGTTGGGATTCCTCTCCATATATAAAGGGGATCCTTGTCATTTTGTAAAAGATCTCATGCTCCATACAAAAATATAGAAGAACATCCTCTCTGCTCTCAAACACACTCTCTTGAGTTCATTACTTCATTTATAGCTCGCATTCATTGTGTTCTATTTATTGTTCATCATTAATTGATTATTATTGGTCATAAAGAGCCATCATTGATTTTATTCCTACTGTTAGTCGCCCATTGATTACCCCCGATAGCTCCCAGCCGAGCTTCGGACTCGACCCGGAGGTCCTCGAATAAGCCATGCTCGAGGCTCCGATTATTAATCATTCGGTTTGGTTATTACATTGCTCTCAAGCTCTAATCTCGTCTCTAAGTCTTTTGTATAGCATCAACTACATAACAACTAGCATAAAAATAGATCACGTATTTTTAAAACCTCACATAATCAAATTTAATTGTTATTACCATTTCCAGGGTAAACATGTACAGAACTCAGAAGGCTATCAAAGGACAAGCTTTAGCCGACCACCTTGCCGAGAATCCAATGGATGGGCATTACGAACCACATACCACGTATTTCCCCAATAAAGAAGTACTATTTGCCGGGGAACACCTTGTAGAATGATACCCTGGATAGAGGATGTTTTTCGATGGAGTAGCAAACTTCAAAAGAGTGGGGATTGGGCAGTCCTGATTTAGAAATCAGGGCAACGCTATCCAGCATCGGCAAAGATAAGATTCCCTTGTACTAATAATATGGATGAGTACGAGGCATGCATCCGTGGCATCAAAATGGCTGTCGACATGAAGATCAATGAACGTTTGGTTATAGGAGATTCCGATTTATTGATATACCAAGTGCAAGAAGAATGGTCAACGAATAATGTCAAAATATTGTCATACCTGCACTACATGAAGGAACTATGCAGGATGTGCACGAAGAAAGAGTTCACGCATTTCCCAAGAGTTAAAAGCGAGTTCGCAGACGCCCTCGCGATATTATCATTCATGATTCAGCATCCAGATAAGAACTACATAGACCCCATCGAGATAGAAATTAGAGATCAACATGCATATTGCTTGCATGTGAATAAAGAACCAGAAGGTAAACCTTGGTATCACGAAATCAAGAAGTTCCTTTGCGAGCCAGGAGTACCCAGAAAATGCTACTAATGGTCAAAAGCGAGCCCTCGTGAAGTTGGCAAACCACTTTTTCCTCAATGGCTAAGTCTTGTACAGGAGGACCCCAAACTTAGGTTTGCTAAGATGTCTAGACGCCGATGAAGCAACAAGACTATTGGAAGAAATACACGCAGGGACGTGCGGACCCCACATGAATAGTTTCATGCTAGCCAAGAAGATTTGAGCTGGATACTTTTGGATGACAATGGAAAGCGACAGCATCCGCTATGTAAGAAAGTTTCACTAGTCCTATATTCACCGAGACATCATCCTAGTTCCACCAAATGACTTAAATGTGATGGGTTCACCCTGGCCTTTCGTGGTCATGTCCCAACCTCGAGGAGCGTGACCGACGTTCAACCGAGTGAACCCGGTCGAGCAAGCCTATTAGACACTTTCTACCCAACTCACTTATGACCAAGATGAGGCATGTTTTCATTACTTAAACAATTGAAGGGGTGTATATATAAACATTACTAATTAATTTCATTTTACTACATCGTTGTTAAGTTCCCAAAATACATACACATTACGATTTAGTGAGACAAGAGTCCGAACGCAACATAATTCATCGGACCTTTCTAGCACCCATAAACAACCCACAAAATGTCTACGGAGCCTCTAAAGATGCAAAAGAGAGTGTTATGACAACGCCGACGACAAGGCCCCGACAATACCTCAAAACATAGTAATAATAGAACCAAAAGATATAGAATATAACCCTGTGATGAAGTGGGGGCTCACCGAGACTACTGGGAGAAGAGGATACACCACTAGCTACGATCAACACTGTCTGTCTTGGAACCACCTACATCCATTTAAAGATGTAGCGCCCCCGACAAAAGGGATGTTAGTACTGTCGAATAGTACTAGTATGTAAAGCTAAAACACCATCTTAATAGAATGAACAATGAAACATAGAGGAAAGAGTCATGATGTATAATAAGAGCTTCAAACAAATACGAAAAACATTAAGAAAGGATCACAAAATCTCAGGTTAAATTTCCATCTTATTAAGTTGATAATCTCCGTGCCATGTGCCACAATCCACAATACCACCGTGTTCCTACACGGAGTCCGATCTTGACCCGATCGACTAGGTCGTCTCCCTTGAGACATCCACCATATTAACAATTTCAATCAATCAATCCTGCACAATTACCACCATGTGTGCGACATGGTGTCCGATCACGGCCCGATCGGCTAGGCCATCTCTTCTGACACATCATCCTTTCAATCGTTCATCTCAATGCACATTTCTTTCTCATCTTTCATTACATGGCACGGTAGCCTCATTTATTAAATCGTGCTTGGCACTTGGCTGCATCTTACAATTCAAGTTTCCCTTCTTATATGATCAAATAACATTATCATTCACATCAATAAGGCCTATCCTATGAGGCATTGCATACATAGGGGAATGCATGAAAAATCTTAATCACACACAGGCTTTACATACAAATTGGCACAACAATCTTTATTCGATTCTTGACATGTATTCTTGACCATTCTCAATACATATATTTCACATTTTAAACACATTCTCAAATTGCATGACGACATGATAAACATTTAGAACAATCATTGAACATAAATCATTCAACACAACACATTAGGGCAACGATTCTAGTATGATCAATTTAGGAACTTACACAAATTACACGAATACCAGGGGTTCGATTCTAAGAAGAAAGTGGTTTAGCCATACATACCTTGTTTAAGCTTTCCTTAAGTTACTACAACATTCCGGAAATTCTAGAAATCCCAATCTATTTTGAGACATAACAAAATCGAACACAAATTAGGAAGATAATTATGGTTTCGGCTCATTTGAGCATTTTATCAAATACTAGTTGTGCATTTTGATTTCAAAGCTCTTCTACAAGATTTCCTTCATTCTTCAACCCAATCTTTACTTATTTGTGTTCAACAATCTTCCCACAAACCTTATTTGTACATGCATGTATACATAATACTATTACATCAAAGAATCATACCTCTATCACCCATCTTATACCCCAAAACGCGAAATTAATGTCTAGTGTATAGAACCTTACCTCTTAGATGAACATCTTGTGATTGGTTTGCTTGATTCTTGAAGATTGATGCAAGATTGAATGATTCAAATGTTAGCCTTCCTTCTTCTCTCTCTAGAATTCTCTTACCTCTATCTAAAACTCTCAAAAAATCGCCCAAAAATAAGCACCAAAGCCTATTTATCAAAATGGGGTCGGGTTATGAAAATAGGGAATTAAAGCCTCCGAAATCGGGTCTGCGGTCGCATAATGGACCGCAGAACGGGTATGTGGGTCATAGAATGGATCGCAAAATTGGTGCCCAGAATTGGGCTTCACTGGACAGGTCGGCGACCATTTCGCGATCGCATAACCACTTTTGCGGTCGCATAATGGTCGCAGAATGGCTGCAAAAATTGCATTATGCCAGACTTTGGTAATTTGATCATAACATTTTGTAGGAATGTCCAAATGACGAACGGTTTTAAGCGTTAGAAACTAGACTCGAAGATATATCATTTGATAGGTTGTTATATATATATATATATATATATATATATATATATATATATATATATATATAGAGGTATGCTCATCCAAAGTGTGGACTTGTGCGAACTCATTTGGAATTTTAGCCTATTATGTAATTTTCCAACTTGACTTAGACTTAGGCTTCTCCTTAGATCCCACATTACTTATTATAAGACTAATACACTTATTACTATATCCAATTGATGTCCATAATATTAATATCACATAAAATATTATAATTATCCTACCTGGCACCACAAAATCCTAAATAACTAAGCGATATTTTCCATGGCCTTACATTCGCCGCTTGGGGCATGGACGTGATAGTACCCATAGAGCCTGTAGCGTCAATTGGACATCGTTTCATTTTGGTAGCCATCAACCGTTTCACCATATGGGTTGAGGAATCTACTTACAAGGCCATCACAAAGAAGCTAGCTGCAGATTTTGGCCGGAACAACATCATTTGCAGATTTGGGATACCAGAGTCTATCATCACTGACAAGACTCCTAATCTCAATAGTGACCTCATGAGGGAAATCTGCGAGAAGTTTAGAATCGTCCACCGCAACTCCATAACTTACAGAACACAAATGAATGGGGCAGTTGAGGCAGCTAACAAAAATATCTAGAGGAATTTGCGAAAGATAGTGGACAATCACATACAATGGCACGAGAATTTGTCGTTCACTCTATTAGGTTACCGGACTACCATGAGAACGTCTACTGGTGCAATGCCATACATGTTGGTATGCGGCATCGAAGAAATGTTACCCGTAGAAGTCGAAATACTGTCTTGAAGAGTCATTCAAGAAGCAAAATTGGACGGTGCAAAGTGGATACCCGTCAGACAAGAACAACTCATGCTCATTGATGAGAAAAGAATGGATGCAGTATGTCATGGACAGTTATACCAGAATAGGATGGCTAGTGCATTTAACAAAAGAGTGAAGCCTCGCTAATTCATACTGGGGCAGTTAGTTCTGAAGAAAATCATTCCCCATAAAGAATAAGCTATAGAGAAGTTTGCACCGAATTGACAACGTCCTTACGTGGTCCACAGAGCACTATCTGGTAATGCTCTAATCTTAGCAGAAATAGATGAAAGAGTCAGCACTAAGTTCATCAACTCGGACGCAATCAAGAGATATTATGCTTGAAGGTAGATAGAGTTACGATTTTGATGTAGCAGAACTACATTCAACTAGACTTCCCACCGAGGGATAAAACGGCAACCCACATAGGGTTCGGTTTCTCTCCCCCTTTCTCTTGTAATAGAAAAACCAAATGTCCTATTTGTATGTTGTTCAGGAAGTACGCCGACTTTATTTCCTAAGAAACGAATACGTAGGCAATCCTCATCGAATTCAGTCATCTTTTGTAATTGAACTACGTTTTGGCTTGATTCCACTTGGATACGTAGGTTGTCTGAATTAGACTCAACCATTTTCTTTTCTTAATCTCATCATTTTGCATGTGTTGTAATTGAACTAAGTTCCGTCTTGATTCCTTTTGGATACGTAGGCTTCCTGAGTCTGGCTTGGCCATTTTATCGCCTGTTATCATTATCCTATGAGCTACGTTCAGACCAGATTCCATTTTGGATTCGTAGGCAACCTGAAAGGGTTCGGTCATAACCTTACGAGACCTCTGTCATGCATTAGCTTAATTAGGACGTAGTTGCAATATAAAGTAGCTGCATTGTTAGATATACCATGGAGGATCGACATCAAAGGGACGAAGTTTTCCTTAAAAGAAACAAGTATTTTCAATATATATATATAAAGTAATATGTTCCATATACCGAACTCCATGGCGCAATCATGTCAAAGGCTGGGGCAAGTCAATACCATGATCGACAGAAATCAACTCCCCCCCCCCCCCCCAATTATGAAGTTTTCTTTGAGATGAGGGTCAACAAGGAGTAAAGAATCGCTGGGACCACACTAGGGCAAATGACGGAGCTGCCACTTGCCTAAGATTAGCTCTCCTTCCTATTACATAAATTTTCGAGCGCAGCTAAAGCTAAGTCTTGAATTCATTGCAGGTGCTTCTAAATCAGACAACTGACACAGAAATCTATAAATAGCAAACCGTCTGCCCAATCTATCGGAGCACCCTGTACAAATCATACGACGGCTTCCCTCATCGAAGTCCTGTAAATAGAAAACCATTTGCTCAATCAATCGGGGCACCATATACAAATCGCATGGCAGTTTAACATATCGAAGCCTTGTATATAACAAACCATTAGCTCAATCAATCGATGAACCCTGTACAAATCGAACGTCTGCTTCGCCAACTGGAGCCTTGTATATAGCAAACGGCAAACTTCGCCAATGACAAACAATCCGTAGAACTGCTTTGTCAATCGTGAGTGCCGGAATAGAAAATCGTGAACCTCGTCACCAACATTCTGCCAATCGATAGCCGTAACTTAGCTTCACTGTCAAGAGTATCTCTTGGGCATGCAAATATTTCTCATTGCTATTACCTTGAATGTTTTAACATTTTGTTCGTGCAGCTTTAGGCATGATTTTGATCTCCCCCGAGCGGAGATTACTTTACATTTTTCAGTGATAAACTCTCCCAACAAACGGAGACGCACCCTGCAAATCAAGTTGTCCCAACAAGCAGAGACATTTCTCAGGGCAAAGCTCTCGCAGCAAGCAGAGATACACTTTACCAATCAAGCTCTCAAAACAAGCAGAGACAATTTCCAAATGCTCCAACAACTGCGAAACGGTACCCAACCCGTCTAACAAATCGAGTCAGGATCAAGTATCCCGTTATCCCAATCCCAAATAACGGCTCGCCGGCAGCCAAGCATCATCATTCATGCATCATTTACATCGCATCTTAATATATTTTACATTATAATATATTGGAATGTCTGTATTTCATTTTGTTTTGCACGAATAAACATCGCAACGTGGAACTACTTTTTAGAAGCAAACCGAACTACAACGCTATGGGGATAGACAACTCACTAGCAGTCTCAAGATCCCACCTCAAAGTGACCAGCGAGCTCAAAATTTCGAATCACTCAAATCAGGCCGCAAAATTCAAGCTATCGTGAGTGACCAATCTTTCGTCTCCCCTCGTCACAACACGATACTGGGGAAATTTTTAAGAGTGCCGCTTCCTAAAGTCCCTACTCAGAACTACATGAGGCCTGATCGTCATTAATCCCAAGGTCTGTAAGCAATTCAAAGTCAGAATTCGGCCCATTATTCCCAAACTTTCCTAGATTCTTCCTCAACTCAATTCCACAACTTATAATTTTCATGCCATTATGGCAAAGCATGCCTAAAGTCGGGACAAAATTGGCTTTGGTTTAATTTTTTTGCCCAGAAACCCTTTCATCGTCTCCAGTCAAAAAGGGGTAGCTGTTGACGTCCAATTTTGACCCTCCTTTTAAAATTAGTTTATTCACGCTTAACAATTTACAATAAATACATTAAAAGTATTTTCTATTAATGAATATCTATTTTTATAAAATAACTAAATATTAGTCTCAAAAATTATGCAGTACTAATATTGTGTATCTAAAAATGTTTTGCTATTATAAAATAACTTTTATATACATTGCATAGGTTTTATAATTTGACAAAATTACTCCTTTATTTCCAGTGAATTAGGTTATTATGTTAATACTTTGAAATTAATGCTATATTCGAAATATGTGTCATTTATCGATAATTAATTAAAATTATTAGCAACATATAGTAATTATAATTTTACCATATTTTATTGAAATTTTTAAGCTCATTAAAATTAATTTTTAAAAAAGTTTAAAACTGAAAGGCTACAATTGCAATTCTTTCGTTTAAAATGAAATGGCTATTCCCTAAATTGAAACCATCCCAAATACCATGCCCAAGTCTGAATTAACCCAGTCCAAACACCCCATCCCTTTCCAATTTGGCAATCCATGCCATTCTCAATGAATGAGAGCATGCCATGTCGCCCGCTAATCCCACTCACAAAACAAACACAAGCAATCTTAGCTGCTGATCAAATGATTCAATGGCCCAGGTCCCTTTCCTCGACCATAACTCCGAGATAGCCAAACCCCATCTCCCAAAACCCTACTCATTTCCCCTTTGAACAGTCGTCCTTCTTTCCCATTCATCTCTGTTCTCTTGTCTGCCCTAAACTCCATCAATCAACTGACCTTGCACAAATTAGTGCAAGGTGGTAAAATCAATTTCAAATCTTCTTGTTTGTCTCTCATATCCACGATTCTCAATTAATTTTTGCCTATTTCATCACAAAAAATCAAAACTCCCAAATCCAAACCCTAACCTCGGAGATGAAACTTTAAATCGCTACTGACCTTTCAAATCCATGGCATGCATGGTTGTTCATTTTGTTTCCTGCGTTCTTGGTTCCGTCGTTCATTCCATTTTCGCCATTCGATTTCAAAACCCTAATTATGAAATCAGACAAAAAGGTGAAACATCAAACTCGCCTGATTTCTTCTCTCGTCCTTTCAAATCAAAGCGAGCAAGAGATGTTAGCTAGCTTCATCATCAATATTCGATACCTATAGGTCAAATGCAATGACCTCTAGGTATTATGGTTATGACCAGCGGTTTCTTGTGCTTCAACGTTCAGCATCTCATATCTCTCCACCCAGGTAAACTCAAACAATATTTTTCCCTCTGTTCTCTCTGATTTTACCCGACTAGGCTCGCATCATCAACTCATCCTCTGCCATATTAATCCGATTATGGTTTCATTTATCTGTTTATGTATTTGTCACGTATATCAAAGTGTGTTCTGTAGTTAGAATGTGCTAAATATAATTGATATATGTCTAATGAACTTCTTATCTTTTGACATGTACATCTATTTGGGCCTCTGAGTTCTTGATGAACTCGGGCCCAAAACCAGCCTTATTGTATCTCGTCTAGGAGTCCAAAGTCAGCCATGTTCACGTATCTTTACTACTCGGCCTACACTTCTTGAGGCCCAATCATAGAGTCCAGTCCTCTTTCCCTCAACTCCTTTATCGTTATTACTGTCTCGTTAATTTAGATTACCGCTTCTACTAGTTTAATGTTAGTTGTATTTGTTATGTTTTTATTGTTATTTTATCTCTCATGTATATAAAGCTCATATATTAGAACACGTGCCTTTTTTTTCATGTTTTAGTATCATATGAAATTAGGCAAGACTTCAACAATATAGGGTTTAAAAAGAGAAATTAGCTAGTAGTATATCCTTAGTTCGCTAGTTATAATCTGCTCGCTATCTATTATGTATTTCCCTCACCCTTATTTCCTTTTAAGATTATGAAATGCAGAACTTAGCGACAAAATTTTTATTTCAGAAAGGAAAGAAAAATATCTTAGCTTCATTTTCAAAAGAAAAATTTGGAACTTCAAAAGTTAATGCCTTTATGAAATTTTTGACAAATAACCTCTCCCTTTGAAAATCCTCTGAATCTAAGGTAAATTTAGACACGCTTTGTTACAAACCTTTTAGCATCATGTAAATAACCCTCCTCAAACCAAAGTATTTTCCTTAATCAATCATGTTTTATAAATTTATAAAAGCTAGACCACTTATTTACCAATTTCAAAACCCTATCAATATATCTGTGAGAGAATAGAACAACAAAGAT